GACCGGATAAAGGGGAAACAGCTAGCCCAGAAGCACTTGGCAGATGAGTAAAGTGTTGTTTGTCCAGGAACACAGCAGGTACTACAGCCCCTTAAATTACAAGTTGTCGCTTTGTTTTTTTTTTGTTTTTTTTTTGTATAGAATAAACAAACGAAATTCAGTGTTTTACTTTGTAGGTTTTAGATGTGTTGGCACTGTACAGTATGTGTATATTTGACTTGAAATGAGAGCCAGCCTGTTGAGTACTAGATTAACTGGGTCTAGAAAATGGCTCATTCTTGACATACTGTATATACAAGTTGTGTATCAGTTGTTGTTGATGACCACTGTTAAATATGGCAATTAGCAGCTCAGGTGTAGGGTGTATCTCTAAAGAGCCTCAATGAAAAGTACTTTTTTTTTCTCACAAAACCCCTTTAATGTGATGGCAATGTGTCTCAACAGTGTGATTTAATCTCATGAAACAATATTCCACAAACAAAATCGATAAATAAAAAGCTTTTGCAGCTTTAAAGTGTCACCTAATAGTAAAACAAAAAACCAATACACTGCAACAAATGAAAAGAAAAAATAAAGGGTTTCACAATTCTGTTGACCTCAATACATTCACTGCATGTATGACACACAGTTGTGAATCTCTCTTCCATCATGTTCAGTAACAACATAGGTAAACCCAGAGTGCAAATGCTGTATTTATGATGTATCTCATCCCCCAACATAAAATTGGTAGACTTAATGACCCAATTGCCTCCATCTCCACCTCGACTCTCCAGCACTCAGCTGAAGGCATGCATAATCCCACAAAATCTACCCAGCTTATGAATTTTAAATGGGAGGGCCTAAATCACAGAGCTGCTTTTAAGTGAATCCATTTCTAATAGAAGAGCAGACAGCTGGGATGGTGTCCCGCTGTGGGATGCTGTCACCCAGGTGGATACATTTTACAGATTGGAAATATATTTTTAATGTGTGCAAACATTGTAAAGTTGACTTGTTTCATGCAAGAAGTCTTTGTTACAAAATCTCAAGCATGAAATGGTAAGGGAAAACCATCCTTTGGTTTGTTCTTGTAATTTTTTGTTCACCAAGTTAATTGCTAAGTCTGGGAATGCCATTCAGTAGCAGGAGTGACTTGTGAAGCTACAGTATGTGAAGAGCAGAGGTGTAGTGCTATTTGTTGAAGGTACAGGAGTGTACATGGGATGCACGCTGTTAAGTTATGGCTCATTTTGAGGGCCATGTAAACACTTTTCCTGTGGTGGCAAGTAGTTTACATATATTAAAGATAGTCAGCTGTAACTGCCCTCACAATCAAATGTTAGACCGACTTTATTTTCTGATGTGGCAGAATAACAAAATGAATAAGTGGCCATTTGTCACAGGGTGAATGTTATAGCAATAGATAATTTTATTACTAGGCCATAATCTCCACAGGGGACACATGCCACCCAAAGCATGAAAAACGTAAATTTGCCCTCCCGATATTTGTCATGACTATTCATCAAATGTCTCCTAAGTTTATAATAAAATAGTTGCTCTCCACTCATGTTAAACCAACTCCAAAACGTACTGATTATTCAATGAGCCAGCAACTGTGAACACACCAGCTGTGCACGGGGCTCGCGACTGGTCAGCATGTGCCAAAGTTTGGCCATCTTGTGCCCTGCTTGTGTCATATAGACCTACAGCTGATCACTCAGAGGTACACAGGTAAAATGGTCTCTTTACATCGCAGCATCACTTAAATTAAATGTAAAGTCTGTTTTGCTGCTGATTGTCACATTTGATATTTGTCTTCAAAAGCATTTCAGTGTATCCCCTGTATACATTCAGCAGTGGTGCACCACAGTGCATACACAGTAGAGGAATTATGATATTTCACATGGGCTGTACAAGGCAGGAGCAATTCCAGAAGTCAGAAAACTTTTTTGGTTCATGTGGTCTGCGAGCAGTTTTTATTCAGGTGACATCTCTGGACTCCAGGATTTGGTTTTTATAATACATGAGGGATTTTTTTCAGACTATTCAGGTGTCCTTCCTTTTTTTTAACCTCCAAATAAAGTGCTTTAAGTAATCTACTGAACCTTTGACATGTCTAATTGTCTGAGCGCTCATCTTTCTTTTCCTGTTTGACTTTATTGTAGTGATGTCACTGTGATCCCAAATGATAGCCAAAACTAACCAAAAAAAAATATATATATATATCTGAGTTGTAGTGCTGTAGAACTAGAAATGTCCATAATCTTAGTTATATTAAACCAGACTGGAGCCTTACAAATCACAAGGAGCACAAACTGAATATTGTGTAATTGCAGCTGCCCAAATTGACTCAAATAGAAGCAACACAATAAAAAGAATTCATCTGCTATTCAGGAGTGAGAAACACCAAAGCGTTCCAGCAGCAACAGTCCTCTTCAGGGGAACAGGGTGTGTATGTACTGTACATAACAGTACATAGGCCAAGTGGCTCCCCCAGAGCCCATAAAGTCAACTAAAACATTTCAAGAAAATCTTTCAAATTCAATATTTAACCACTGATTGGCTTTAAAAACTTTATCAACCCACCACATTAATTTCATTCTTCACAAGTCAACACTGTTGCTGAATGTATTCACATAAAGAACGAAAACAATCAAAACCTCTAGTAGTATTTTTCAATGACTTGCGGGATTCTAAGGTGTTGACTCACTAAAGGAGTTGTGTTGTGCCTCTCAGACAGCCAGACTAGAATATCACACTTCATTATCCTTTTGCAAGCAGAAGAGAGGACTCCCATTGAACCAGAGCAACAACCGCATTGAGCTTGTGTCAGTGATGCATGTTTAAATCTCTTTCTTTTGAACACTTGGTAATGACTCTGAGGTGGAGGTGGTTCTGATTTCACATCTGTACATTTTCTCCCTCGTAAACCACAGCACAAACAAGATCTTTTGAAAAGATCTGTGGTTAGTTAATTCACACTGGTTGATTTTGTGTTGCCGTGCTCAGAGGGTGAACTCATTGAAGCTGCAGTTTGGCTGATTATTACACCTGCTGATTGACTGCACTCCCCTGTTGGGGTTTTCTTGGACTTAAAATGCTAATTTTCCTTTGTAGAGAAATTGGCAAAAACTGTGCTGTAAGCTTCGAAAATAAAAAATAAAGACCATTTGCAGTTGAAACACCATCTCAGTCACTATCTCCCAACACAGAATGTTTTGAGGGTGGCTGGTGGAAGGAGGAAATTCCTTCTTGGCATGTTGCTAGGCAATGCATTAATATTAATGTGGTCTTTCCTCAGAACGCGTGCACTGTCTGCCCCCCTCGGGATAAGCTGAAGCTTAAAGATATCTACATCTTACTGATACTTCTTTTATCCTTGTTAAAACTCATATCAAAGGTTTTAATTACATTCTGTGAATGTTATACTGCAGAGTTTTATTGAGAAAGCACAATTGCATTTTTAGTTTGCTGCGCTGATATGCTCAGTTCATTTGTATGACCTGACATGATTTAAATGGGTAGACTATATTTGGTTATGTGATGTGAACATGTTTGAGTTTATCATATTTTCATATTGATACTGAGCTCATTTTGCCAGGTTCTAATCATCATTGCATTTGAAAGCAACATGATTGCCCTGTTTTAATTAGATTTTTTTTTTCTACTTAAAATAATTTTGGACAGGAGAATAAATCTGTGATGGAGTTTGCCCTCTGCCTCGCCCTTTCCCCTGCTGGGCTTTTAGCCTGGAGGCTTTGTCGTAGCCTTGCCGCACTTCTCAGCTGCCCTCTCTGCAAAACCATTTTCCTGGCACTGAAACACAGATGTTATCCATCTGATTAAACGTTCAAGGTTACATCTCCACATACATCAAAGTCTACCTCTTCCAAAAGAAAAAAAGCGTGACAGCCAATATTGTTGGTAGCCTGGAGGTGCAAGTGCCAGTGTCCCTCCTCTCATTTTTTTCTAAGCACATGAAAGAGACTGTAGCACTTGTCATTATCTCTGCAAGTTAATTGGTATCTCAGCTCAAATGACAAAGTATTATGATGATTGAGCCTCAGCCAATAGTTGAGATGAATGTGAAGTGATCTAACAATGTTAGTCAATAAATGCACAATTCATAGGGTTTGTGTACTGTACAGTACTATACTTAAATATGGTTGAGCAAATCTGTTGAGAACTACACTGGAACCTATAAAGGTATTGAACTATTGTTTGGGCAAACCAGTGCAATTTTGGGAAATTGCAAGGGGCCTTTTGATTGTTCTTTTCTGACAATTTATTCACTGACAGATAAACTGAAAGGGATTTTTTTAACTCACATGTATAGGAATAGTTCGACAATATATTTTTTTTTTACCTGAAGGTGAGATGAAGAGATTGTATCACTCCTACATAAAGTGCAACACATTATATTTTTATTAGCAATTAATTCATGAAAATATACAAAAGGCAATCACAATTTCTCAAAGCCCAAGATGACCTATGTTGTTTTGCCCAAAAGCTCAGTGATTGACATGTATCTCATTTAATTGATACTGAAATAAAAAATGATAAAACAAGAATCCTTAGGTGTGGGGACCATTTCTCAGCGAACACTGACTGGGTGCAGTCACTGTGCACAAGTTACCTTGGAGCTGAGCCTTGTTGACACACTTAGCTTGTCAGGTACTGTATGGCACCGCTGTGGCTGTCCAGAGACTGGAAACCAAAACCTACAGCACACTCAACCTACCAGTGACACTGGACATAAGTATTAGTGAAAAGAAAAGAGCGTGGCTGCACATACTGTACAGCAACCCTCTCTACTGTTGCCATACCAGCTACTTCCAATCTACAGTATATGCCCAGATAGGCTCTTCTCATATGGAAAGAAAACACATGAGCATATTTCCTGAAATGATGATACTTTAATATCCCGGCAGTGGAGATAACCTTTATTTGCATTCGTACTACAGTCCTGTCACAGTATTGGTCATCACTGACTTGTTATTTTTCTTCTTCCTTTGTTGTAGAAATTGAAAAATTTCAGAGAGACGAGGGGAAGGAAGAGGAGAAGTTCATTGACGTCGTGATCAACAAGAACATGAAACTGGGCCAGAAAGTTTTAATACCAGTCAAGCAGTTTCCTAAAGTAAGTGCTACAGTATATCACCACCACCAGTGACTTCTCCAAGAAAGTGACATGCACAGATAGAGAATTTTAGAGATAATGAAGCCAGCTAAAGTAACTCTGGTTTTTGAGTTCAATTCTTCACAACAGCCCCTTGACACTTTTTGTTGATGCTTTATGTTATTAGATGTAGCACATCTGGAAGATGGTGTACAGGCACAGTGTTGGCTGACAGAATTGGGGTAGAACTATATCAAGGATGCTACTTCCTGTCTGAAGAATTGTGAAGCTTTTGAAATGTTACAGCTGTAATTCTCACTCCATCTTCATCTCACACACACACACACACACACACACACACACATTTCTACTACACTGACCTTGGTCAATGACTCTGATTTCTCGGTATATTAATCTGTCAATGAATATTTATGAATATATGATTCAAAGGAATTGTCTCACACTGGATTTCATTATCATGAGTGTACACTGAACCTTTTATGGTAGATACATACACTTCTAGATCTTTTTATAAGTTCTAGATGTTTTCTTTCATAAAAATGAATAACTTATGAGTGCTCATTGGTGAGAGTGCAATTGCAATGTGGCACATACTGTAAGCCACACGAATAGAGTTCTAGAGAGTCAGCTTCTCGATGACCTCCACCTGAAGCCATTTTGAGTGATAATGGTGGCAACAGCATTATCACTGAATGAGAGCACTTCGGCCCTGCCCGCCACTCAGAGACTTCACCGGCAGTAGCTAGCCGCATGCTAGATGCATGCCAGGGATTTCCCGCTGGGAGCATGATGCGAGGCTGGTGTAGATGTGAGAGGGGTGCTCTTAGATGGGGACACCACTCAAGTTTTCACCTCAGGCCTCCAAAGGGAAGTACAGGAGCAACCTGCAGCATGTGAATGGAGAGGACAGCGGAAAGGAAACACAGAGTTGGAGTCAAACCATGAACCAGTAGTACTATAGAGGTGCATTTGGGTTTGGTTTCCCCAAAACATGCTTTTCTGTTCAGTATCACAAGAATTTTGATGGCATGCACAGTAAACCAAACATCAGCAGTCTAACAGCTTTAATTTAACATTTTGTGGTAACTTTAAAGCTCTGTGACAAACCCATCCTCAGTTAACCCTCTTTTTATCATCATCATTTTATCAGTAGCATGCTAATATTTTCCTGATGATGTTAAAAGGAAAGTACATCTGAGGCTGATGGAATTCTTTATTCCAGGTATTGAAAAAACTTAGTTTTGATCTTATGAAGTGGTTATGGTAGATTCAGGGGATCACCAAAGTTATTACAATTCATCCTGACGAGACCTTGAATGTTTGATAGTTTTCTCTGTGGCATTCTTTTTACAACAGGCTGTTCTTTTTCAAAGTAATCACAATGATAAATAGATCAAAATATTATCTATCAGTGCATATACTGTAACACTTGTTTGTGTCAGTGTAAATTTCCATGGTACTAGCAGTCTGTGAATGTTATGTGTATACCCTAGTTTTTGAGACAGTAGCTTATGCACATATGTAACCACTGTTTCAGGCAATATACTGTATTTCAATGTTGGTAGGACCTGCTCTCAAACAACCTGCACAATTTAAAAAGTTGAACCTTTAAGCTAGCCTAGTTTTATCATAGATAAATATCTCTGTATCTGCTAATCACTAATTGGTAGTTTGCATGAACTCATTAGTCACCAGCTATTGGCATGATGAATTTAATTCTACGAAATGATCTTTTGCGGAGCATTCAGTGTGTACTACGTGCACTACTGTATACATAATGTGATCTGGAGACTGATCTGAGTCTCCTATGCTTGCAGCTGAACAGATTTGCTTTGACGGCTTTGATAAGTAGAGCCACTATTACACTGTTTAGAGCGCCAACAAGCCAACGAAGGAAGACAAATTCAATTTGTTCTAGCTGACAGGTAGCAGTGGCAAGAGTGATTGGTCTGACTTGGATGGGTTTTCTCCTGAGCTTTGAGCATCACCTTTTGGCTTCTGGCATTGAAGTGGCACAGCCATTTTCCAAATAGCCATTTAGGAGCATGTGTGGAGAGGTTAAATCCATCCTCTGCAAACAGAACTTTTTATCAGAATGAAGCAGGCAAGGACACAGTGCTGCAAGTTCCAGGCTGCTCATACTCTGTGATAAAATAAAGCTGCTCCTCAGCAGTGATTTTTAATACCTGACACTGAATTTTTAGATCAAGATCTTCAAAAGAGTGATGATGTTGAATGGTGTAGTTCTGTTGTGATATGGATGTTCAAATATTTTAGTTTTATCTTTTATGACTTATAGATTTAAAAAAAGACAAGATTCAAAGGAAACCTGCAGAAATAGAGTCTCAGTTTTTAAATTTATTATAATAGTATGACATATAATGTCACAACTACTCAGGAACTAAAAATATCCATTTTTTTGTGCAAGGATGCAGCATCTGTGCTCATCTGTGGGGCCTTTCTCAGAAGCATCTTTTGGCAGAAAGCACCGCAGGCCATTAGTGAGGCGTAAGGAGTCCCACTGGTTTATTTCCAGTTCAGACTGTGGCTTTTCTCTGTGCTGGGAGTGGCAATTTATCCTTCTGCTGTCCTCAGCACAATCACTCTGCGCTGGCTCTCCGTGAGCACACCTGTCACCAAACTCACAGTAACACATTCGGCACATGATTAAAAGACCTTAATGGTGCCTGCCCCCCTCCCTCTGCCACCCTTCCTCATGCACCCCCTTCAAGTTAAGTGTGACTAATCATACATCGTTTCTCTGCTTGTGTCCACTGTCTTTCTAATGACACACATGACATTTTTCTTTTGTTGTAGCAGACAACCAAGATATGGCGCAACAATTCCAGTCCTGTTTTTGCACATTTTCAGTCATTCACATCAGAGCAGCGGGTGGGAACCTGTGATTAGACACATCAGCTTTTGTTCGTGTGATGATGGACAGCAGAGCACAATCTTCTCACACAGTCTAATTGCATGAACCAGTCCATGAGGCCAGGCAGGTTTTTGCAGGTCACATAATCTCTCATGATCACTAAAGCAGTAGCAAAATCCCAAAGCATCAGTCACAGTAGGAGTCTGCTGGATTTGGATATCTGATAAACAGCATGGGTTACAGTTATTTATGCAGGAGGACTCATACTGTATATTTGGAGGATTGTCCATACAAGGAAATCTCTGTGTGTGTGTGTGTGTGTGTGTGTGTGTGTGTGTGTGTGCGCAGATGTAACGACTGTTTAAATGTCCAAATGAACACTTCTCTCTGACATTCGCTAATACAGTTACGTCATGTCACTACATTATCTACAAAAGGGTCTGAAGTAACTCAAGCCTGTGTGTGCCTATATGACAACAAGTTGTATAAAGTGACACACATGCCCAGAGTAACCTGCTACACAGCCTAGGTGCAACAGTGAACTGCTGGTCCCCTATTAACCCCTGTCTCTCCTCCTCTTTGTGTAGCATTCTTAGATAAACTATCACATGATATGGGTTTGCTGTGTTGTTCTCAAATCCTCTTTGCACAAAGGTTGAGTTGACCTTTCTCCATTTTCACTGGTTGCAAGTGTGATTACTCTATTGCCAGCACCTGTTGGCTGCTACAGGTGAGTTTAATTACAAATTAAAGGAGCATCACAGGCTTGAAATTCAACTATTTCTGATGATTTTGAAAAGGTGTCAATAATTCTGTCAAGTCCATTTTTGGAAGTCTCTGTGAAATGGACCAGATTTGGCCTTTTGTGCTACACATTTTAAGGCCCTTAGCAGGTTAGCTAGCTGATACTGTGCTTTTCTGGTGCATCTTAGGATACGCTTAAACAAAATCATAATTATCTAGACAGCACTCAGAGCACACACAGCCAAGGTAGCTCAGGTTCCACAGGATGCCAGTAAAAAAATGTGTGGATCAGGATGATGATCCAGATCACCACTGAAACCTGTGGCTGTACCATGCCTCTTGAAAAAATGATCAAAATGCATTCATTACTTTTTGAGTTGTGCCGTGAACAAACCAACATACAAATGCTGGTATAAACATAACCTCCTTGGTGGAGGAAATGAAATCAACACAAACCAGGTGCAGCTTGTGGGGGGAAGAGATCTATAAATGCTGTCTCTGTAAATTAAAATCAAATGAGACAATTATATGAGTTATTAGATAACAATAAACAGGTAATGGACTTTTTTTTTTAATTTTGTGTGCCTTTAGTTTATTTTTATGACAGAATGATAAAATTTAAGACTTACCCACAGGCTAGTAGTTGGATTAACTCAGACTGTTTACAAAATTTGATATCTTGAAATTCCAAAGTGAATAAAGTCATCTTTAATTAAAAGGCTATTTGCAGAGGCATGTCCTTCAGGTGTCCTGGTAGATCGGTGCATGGGTTAGCACAGAGCAATGATGCCATGTACTGGATTGGGATTCAGACCAAGAACATTGCCACCTTTTTCTCATTTAACAGATTCTGTCTTTTCAATTTAAACTGTAACTTCTAAATAAAAATGGCATTTGCTCGCTCCTCAGTTCACCAACAAGCCAAGCCAGCCCTGATTTCACTGAAACTTGAACAATTTACAAACAGAGTAAATTTCTGTCTGCATTTGTTTCACAGTGTGTCTGATTTTTCTGTTCCTGTAAGTTTGCGCCTTTGTTTTCACTGCCTGATGCCTACGCGTGCACACTTGATGTGGCTCCTAGACTGTGATAGTGAAAGCATCACACTAGGACTTTGTTCTTGTCCTTGTTCAAACATTTTCACCCATCGGTGCCGCAAGTCAGAGGACTGAAACATCCACACAAACATCCTGGACACCATGGCCGATGTTGAACCTGTCAGAGGGACTGAACGGATGCACAAAAGCTGTAGTGACACGAAGAGATGTCGGTTGTGTGATCTGGCTCTGCAAATCATTGTTCAAGAGACAACACAGCTCAGTGATCAAGGGTCCATCCAGGTGGAAATGATGGATGCACAGGACAATGGTTAAACTGAGCACATTTAAATCATTTCCCAACACCCCTTGTTCACCCTGGCAGTGCTGTCTTTTTTCGTGATCCTTTTGTAAACTTAAAAACATTAAAGCCAGGACACATTTTGCTTGCCTAGATAACTTTAAAATGAATTTTCCTCACCCAACAATTCATGTCCTACTCAATATAGTTGGAGTTAATTGGTGTGCAAATTACATTAAAGGTGTTGTAGTGTTCCAGGTGATGTTTGAAGCATAGAAGTGGTGCTTAGTTAGCATTAAAATTTTCATAATATATGTGAAGGTGGCTAGGTTATATATTCATCAAAGTCAGAACTTTCAAGGGCACTACTTTTTCCCTTTTGCAAGTGCAGGGGAGGAATTAGCACAGTGGCAGTGGCATGTACTTTGTGCCAAGAGCTGAATAGGGCCCTGTGTGATCACATCAGTATATACAGTAGCTGCGAACTACAGGAGCTGAGTCTGGTCAGGATAAAAACCCAACAGTCAGTTACTGCATTAGAGCAAATCACTAAAGCTCGCCCCACAAATCCCTCACTCAGGAATTGGCAGGGGCCTCGTAATAAGCACTCACTTTCTGAACAAAAGGCAGGAGAGATATAGGTGAGGTGTAGAACAAAACTGTCTGTTTTTTTTACCTCCAGCTAGCTAATTGATGACCTAGATAGTGGAGGGAGACAGCTGTATAACTCACCGTTAAAGGAAAACATGGAGAGAGGGAGAAAAGCATCGCTCTCCTTTTGTCTCCCTGACCATCTCCAGCTGCTGGTGGAATTGCGTTTAGCCCGTGTTAAGGTTGTATGACTTTGATGGGTGTCTGCACACAGAATATTCTGACACAGTAATGCATAACATTTGGGTTTTTATAACTAAAGAGCACACTCCGACCTTGTGAGGTAGTGTAAGCCAGGGAGCCTTTGATGGACGCCAACATGCCAGAGGTGGTCAGGTTCAGTGTTAGCCTAAACAAGCATATTATGATAATAATGAAAATGTATGTTCAAAGATGTGGGAAATGTTTTCAACTGATCCCAGGAAGTAAAAATGTAATTTCACAAAGGATACAGAATCACTGTTAAATGAATGATATGACCTCAAAAATTCTGTATAGTGTAGTGAGATACATTGTCATGGTTACTGCAGTAATGGTAAATATAATGATGTTTTTATAACCCATCAGCACAAGATATTTCCTTCTTCATGTTGACATACTTTAGATGTTTGTATTGATTTGTTTCTGTTCAAACAGTTAAATCAGACCAGTGTGACCAGTTTAAGGCCTCTCTGGATTAACTGAATGGTTAAACTTCAGGTTCAAAGTCACTGGTTGTCATAGTTATTCTTAATTTAGTCTTAAAGGGGCTCTGCAATTTGGCATATCATTCAAATTTTATCTTCATTCTATTTTGTCTGGAGGAGCCTTTTCAAACCATGACACCACCTGAGTAACTGTGGCAATTCTGGGAAGTGTAAGATCTTAAGGATTAAGAATCAGAATATGTCGGCCACATTGATTTTGATGATTTCTTTTGTGTTGATAATATGGGTTTTTATAAACAAGATTCATATTATCTCATAGGAGTTTGGGTGCTCTGTAGAACTGTGACAATTTATTTAAAATGGTGATATGGGTAAATTAAGGTTACTTATAGGTTTCTGATTTATTTGGTGCACTGCCCATACCTAGCCCTGGTTTCCACTTGTCAGGCAGGTTGCTGAGGGTATATGCAGTCTATGGGCTAAAAAGTAGCATTCTTAATGGGTAAAAAATATAATTTAATAAATGAATGAATTTACAGTTTATACTCTGAATTGTGCTAAGGCAGTATGTGGCACTGTCCTTTGCAGGAGGGCTAGAAATGCAACTATTCATCATATAATCAGCCACTGTATAACCTGAACAAATACAATGCTGATACCATGTGTCAAGCCAAGAAATATCTGCCCTTTGCTTGGGTGAGGATAGGATTCAAACATGTTTTGTATTAAGGTCACACTGAAGAAAGTTTCTGATATGGGCATGGGTATGATAGGTTAAGGCTGGAGAATAGTGTCCAAGGTAATGGTGTCTATGAAATCACTGTATGTGCATTTTGAGTTAGGATTGGCAAATGGCATTACTTGTTATGGGGCCCTGATGTATGATGGCACGTTTGCCCAAATGATGGGTAAACATCATTAACTTGAATACTGAGCTTCCATATGAATGTGCTCCCATTCTTTGGCACATTTAACTCTGTATTTTCAACTATGAGGTTAGGAACACTAAAGGCATTAATATTTCAGCAATTTAAATACCACTCTTTGTGTTATATGACCATTATGGAAGATATGAAATTTTATTATAGTTTGATATTTGCAAGACTGATTTAAATGCATATGACTGCATTCATTTATTGGTTGTTGCCCTTCTGCTTGCTTCTCTGCCCACTTGTGAGTTTAATACAAATATTTTATATTCAGAGCGTCTTTAGTAGAAACCCATGAAAAGGTGACACAGTGAGCCTGGAATAGGACATGTGAAAAACGCTACTGATCCTATTCAGACATGGACAGGGAAAAAAACTGCTGACCATTTTTCATTAGCTCCAGTTGCCACATGTGATTGACATTAGAAATTTCTCAGCTCTTTATCTCAAACACACAGATTCTGATTGATCCGGCTCTTGTTCTCTGTTGCAGTTTAACTTTGTTGGCAAACTCCTCGGGCCACGCGGGAACTCGTTAAAGAGACTGCAGGAGGACACTCTCACAAAGATGTCAATTCTCGGAAAAGGATCCATGAGAGACAAAGAAAAGGTAACACTCCAGTCTATTGTTTCATCTTGTATTTTTTCAGCTTTTTCCCTCAACATCATTTTCTCTTTTCCTGCTGCAGTATGTCTTTCACACGGTTAGACCTACCTTTAAGACTTAGAAAGAGATTAGGGCCAGTGAAAAAATTAGGATTTTTTTGATAAATTGCTGCATGGACACAGGGTGTCTTCATGCTCCCGTTACAGGTTTCCTCAGTGTTTCACATTTGGTATTTTTTCAAGAACAGATGAAACAGATGAAAATGATGTCTCATCAAATATGTGCTTCTCTTTTGATAAATTAGACTAAGAGTCAAATGAAGGCTACAACTACTATACAATAGCCTACTATTTTTACAAATATTTTTAAATAATTGAACAATTGTTTTGTCTATAAAATGTTACAAGCAATAAAAACCATTACCTATCACAGAAAATTTGACTATTCACATTTAAATTTTATGTCTTGATTATCAAGCTGTTGCTTATTGACTAATCAGTTAATTCAGATGTATCAGCTCTAGTTATTATACATAATAACTATACTATATTACATAATAATAATTATACTTAAATATGTATGGCTTTAATATTATAAAGGTAAATTTGTCATCCAATTTGACTGTTAAACAAAATTTGAAAACATTTTCAGAGTTGATTTTCATGTTCACCTCCTTCAAAATCATTATCTAGCAAGGAATGATTTTACTCATAATTAGGAAAAAAAATGTTTATATGTTTGTCTCATATTAAATCAGTTAAAAAAAAACATCTTGAAAGCTTATGGAAATGATTCTGGGGATCACCAAACACAGCTGACATCCTTCGAAGCCAGCCCCAAAACACACACAGTGAAATCAAGTGTAGACTGTACACAAGACAACACCTCCAGATTTATGGTTTTGTTTTCCCAGAAACTCTGACACAGGCTAAAAAAATTGCCTTCAAAATGATTTGCAAATGGAACTTTTTGGTAAAAAACAAACAAAGGATTTAATGTGAAGGCTGTCACTTAAAATTTCAGTAACAATCCAGTTTAACAACTTATATCACCCTTGATCATGTCAGTACATCAGGACAGGACGTACATAAATGCATCTAGCAGCAGCTCTTTAGCAGCAGAATTGATTGGAGACCAGACTAGTTAACCGGGAATAAATCCCCTTCACTTGGCTCGTTTGTGTCTCTGCTCTCCCCTCTGTGTGTCAGGGGTGATTTGTTGGTGGTGATGATTCTCGCTATCATACAGCACATTCTTTTTGATTACTGTGATCAATAGCCTGTGATGGTCGACTTCTCTTGAGTACCTGGAGAAAAGATATGTCATGTAGATGTGCTGACCTCGGCAGGCCTTACCTGCTTGCACAAACCCCACTGTAGGATTTATGTCTGACAGCTTTCAGTGGGGGGATGCGCCATGCAGCTCTCTGCTTCCTCTTTTTCAAGGAGGAAGAGGGATGCACCCTTGCTGCAAAACTACTCCTTCAGCCTCAGCTGGTTGCTGACTTTCTGTTTTCAGCTGCACAGCATGTGTCATTGTAGCATTCAGCACTTGAAATTCCTCGTGTAGGTCAGGCAGCTGAGGGACACTACAGAGCAAAATGACAGGGCTGCTTTCACCCAAATCCTTTTTTCGACATGACTAAAACTAAGGCTGTGTTGTTTTTTACAGAAGTACTAAGTGAGGCTCTGTCGCCTTTAACAATAGGTTTCTATTTATATCAATAAAATTCGCACTGTGCTGTGTTTCTGGGCTGTACCTGACTGACAGGAAAGGAAATAATGTGCGGGTTTCACCCTGCTGAAGACGTGAGATGGAAATGTAATTGTAGTCTTGCTACTCAGAAAATAAAGTATAATCGTTGTGTTGGAGGATGAAACTCTCAAATGTTGAATACATTACCTTTTAAGCTCTTACATATGGCAGAGACACTGGGATAATTGCTCAAATATGTGCAGCTACAGGACCTTGATTTGTGTTGACAAGACTGTGAGTGCAGAGGTTGAAAGGCGCCAAGCTGCCGGAGTCTTCCTGCCTGGTTGTGGCATTTCAGTTATCCTGCATGCTGCCGTCAGAGCTGGATGATGTAAGGGCATCCATGTTCTGCACCTCCACCTCATTAGCACTATCATTTAATTCATTCATTTTCCTCCCTGAGACTTACACACTGTCTTTAAAATACTATTCAATATTCGCTGGGAACAATTATTTGAAGATCACAGGACCTCCACCATATTGCTAGCATTGTCATGTATGCATGCTATGACTTTACCTACAAGCCTGCAAGTCCCCAGTGTTCCGTGGCAGACAGAACATTCACCAGGTTTTCAGCAGTATGCCACTCCGGCATTGCTTTAGTCTGAAGAACAGCACTCTGTATTTTCCACTTGCTTATATAATGGCAGGTGACTGTCACGTATGATCCAGTTATAAGAGCTGTCCATGCATCTGTGGTCAGAGATGCCTTTTCAACACTTGGCAAACGACTGTGTAGCTCACACACGTTATCATCATATAGTTTATCCCGGCGTGCCGTGACCATTTTTCTTGATGGGACCATATAAACTGAACAAATACTATCAAACTTCAAAAATCACCACTCTTGGGGAAGCTAATGGGTAGCATGTCATTTGCTATTATCTTTGTGCTGAGGGCCGTTGTTTGCTCTGCAGCTTCCTTATTTGGGTGACAAATCCACTGACTGTTGATCTGTGGACCACACCCCACTTTCTACTAGATGCCTCGCCGTCGAATGGCTGTGCGTAGTTGTTGTCAGTTTATGATATGCTAACCTAACCTGGCAGATTGTGCACTGCACATCATTTTTGTTTATTTTCTGGAAGAAGTTCCACACAGAACCTTTTGATAGCTGTAGCCTCTACATGTTTCCGCTGTTTGCATTTGGTGCTGTAGTAAAATGATAAACTGACCTCATTATATTATTTCCATGTACTGGAAAAAGCAGGGAAAACAGTGGCTCTTTGTTTTTGAAGAGCCAATGGTATGCTTTTCTTTGTTTTACAACATATCTACAAAGTTACAATGATGAATTATCACCTTAAACATGACTGAAAGCACAAAAAATGAGATGCACCTGTGTTGTTGTACTTTTATGCAGAAGCAACTTGGTTTATACAAGTCTCACAAACTCTTGCTGGTGAGACACTTTTTTTTTCCAGCTATGTAAATTCTCACGCAATAGTTTACAGATTTCATTGAATGGTCATAATCTCCAGGCAGTTCTGCACTGATGTGAGTTTGCCTGACATATACTGCTGCCATTGTAAAAGCGGGATGTTTTCAACTGCACATGGTTTTGTGGATATTTTACCTCCTGTGATGTGTTGCAGGTTGGTGAGTGGATTGTCAGTGCTGCACTACATGTTGGAATTAATTTCACTACTTTGTGAATGTATGTGGTCACCTGTAATGTGAGGGATCTGTGGGGGAAGATGCAGCAATCAGTGGTTGGATTTATCAAAATTCCAATTAATTAATGCTGTTGCAGTTCGCTGTGCTGTCCGCTGTCATATTCTGTATTGAACATGTCAGGTAGGATTTGAGGTATTGTCATTGTCGAACACAAAGCGTATTTGTCACTGTTTTGTGTGCTGTTGTAGCTTCCTGATCGGCAACAAGAGTTGTGCACATTCATAAACTATCCTCTCCTTGTTATATTGTGATTTATCATAATGAAATACTTACAAACTATATGAAGTTATGATGGGTGCAAAGTTAAAGAGGTACCCAAGATTAAACATTAAATGGCGGGTACAAAACCACAGTCACATGCAATATTTGATTTTTTTTAATTTAATGACTATTTGAATATTCAAAAATCACATTAAGTTATTCAGATTACAGGTACAGTAAATTACAATCTGTTGACATTGTCATTTATTTATAAATTTATTTAACCATTATATTCAAATTAGTGTATATTTTGCTGCTCCTTCTGATTCTGTAGTAATTGTTGAGTATAAAGCTTGTATTGTTATATCATATTGCCATTGTCCATGTTGTAACCCATTTTATGTCATCACAATGTCCTGGTTTCTGTTTCTGCACCCTTCCTGTCAGACCTTTATTTAATGTTGCTTCCTCTCCCACCCCATCCTTCCTGTGACAGTTTTACCTTTTCCACTAACATGGCTGTTGCCAATCTAATCAGACACAGCTGTGTGTAATCAGAACTATCACCAGCCAGTATATAAACCAGTGACTTGGGGCTCTGACTGTCTTTAGAGCTTCTTGCTGTTGCCTGATGTTTTGGGAGTTCTGAGCATCTCGGTATCATCTATGCTGGCTCACGTTTGTTTTGAGACTGCTGACTGATATTATGCTGGGGTTCTCTTGCTGGGTTACTGTCTCATGTCCAGTGCCTCCAAATCAAGTCCATTGTGTTTGTATCAAGTCTCCTAGCTCTTCTGTGTTTATTCAAGTGATTACAAGCTTTCCCCCTCATGTGGAGGAGTTTTACACTAGCCAGCTCATGGGTTTATGTTCCGAACTGCAACTCACCTGTAAAGCCTTGTGTTCACCTACTCAGCCTGAAAACTCCATTTAAGCTCTAAAGTTAGTGTTCCGTTGCCATTTGGTGTTTGCTACCGAGTCCTGTTAACCACAAAGTGCTGATGTTTTTATTACTTAGATTTGTGCACCTATTGCACAGTCTTTAAAGAAGGGGAATCCCCTTTTTTTTCCTCCTGAAAGTTGTGGCTTTTTTCTTTCAGGTAAACTGAGTACCTGTGCAAGTCCTGTTATTAGAAATAACCAAACTCCATGCACAAAGGAAAAACATTCCACTTACAATGGTGCCGCACATCATATTTAGACAATCCAGGCCTCATGTTAGCATGCAAAAGCCTGCGCTCTGTGCGCATTGCAGACTGCTAAAGATGGCAATATGTATGATTTCACAGATTAATGGATGGAAGATACTACCTTCATCAGCAAGTATATAAATTCACAATAGTATTTAATCTTGGTCATGATGGGGACTCTGGTAGTGCCACCTGTCGGGCGCTGGCCCAGGTCAGAAAGAGATTTCTATCTGGACTGCAAAGTGTTTCACATCAATGTATAATAATAAGCCTTATTCTGGTGAGGTTTGTTTAACAGGCCCTTCGTGGCCAAATCGGCAGAGCTGTGTGGGTCCTTTGGTTGCTGCGTTTCATCCATTCGCATTGATTGCGTGAGAGCAGTCTAGCAGACTATCAAGGGCGTCTGCCGTGACTGAGAGAAACAAACAGATGGCTTCTTCATAACTCAGAAATGTTACTGAAAATGAGTGGACACACAAACACACCTTTAGCGTAAATTTCTTATACAAATGTAGCAAAGCCAGCATCCAGCAGTGCCCCAAATCTGCAGCTGTTGTTATTACAACATGACAAAATAAAGCACAGATACTTTGAAACCCAGAAAAAAAAATACCCACAGCTGTCCTCACCCAGTCCTTCACAGCTCAATGACATGCACGATGGAATTTTGGGGAATAAAATGTTCTAATGAGGGGAGGGTGATGTCAGGGTGTCAATGTGGCTGCTGAAATGATAGATGGTTTTTGATTAAGAATTTTCTTTGTATTATAATCTATTTTAAATATGCAGATGTTGTTGCTTTAATTAGACTGAAGGATGAACTGATTACAGCCACAAATCAGAAAAAGTTGGGACAGTATGTAAAATCTAAATTAAAACAAAAAATTGTGATTTGTAAATCATCTGTCTCCTGTATTATTTTGAAACCAATAAAGCAGCACATTATTTGATGAGAAACCTCATCAACTTTTTTTGTTCAAAATAAACACTCACATCGAACCTGGTTCCTGTAACGCATTCCAAAGTTGGGACAGTAAAGCGTTTACCACATTGTGATGTTGCTGTTTATTTTCACAACACTTAAAAGACATTTTAAATTCCATGTTAAAGACAAAATCTGGTATTTGAATGTCAGAAGTGTAGGTGAACAAATCAGACAGCATTGAGCAGTTCATCACCATATCTGGCTCTGTGGCATACATTATGATACACCACCTGTCATTAGAAACAAAATATAGAAGTTTCCTATTGTGCTTAAATATTTCATCTGAATGTGAATGTTCGGAGCATGACATTATTATTTACCTCTAAGCTCCATCCGCACCAGCCTCTGTGTCCAGAACGTTGTGGCCTTCTCTTTCCAGGGTGAACAGCTTTTCATAAGCAGATTTACTGAGAAAAAAATGAAAGGATGAAGATGCTGCCAACAGATAGGACATACAGACAGCTGTAATCTTCTGCCTTTAGCTACTGTAGGACTCAGCTGGATCATGGATGCTTTTTATCAGTGCTGGGAGAGGAGCCCCCATCTATGAATACTGCTGCAGTACTTACTATATACTGTATCATAGGCAAATGATGTCATAATATTGACACTTTGCAGTAGACTGTACAGATGGAGTAGTCCTCAGATGACATATGCTAACATTAGACCCTCTGTTTCTTAGCTGCTGATGGATAATGTTTGTTTTTCATATCTTTTTATGCAAACATTCCAAGGAACACATGAAAGGGAAGAGGAGAGCCAGATCTGGAAGCAGTCGTCTTTTTGCTCCACCCTGCTCCACACTGGCAGCGCTGGTGCTGTGTGCAAAAGAGCCCTATGCTCATAAAGCACAGATTTATAGGGGAAATTAACATATCATTAACATACCACAGGCACTCTTATAAGAAGCTTATTTATAATTAGGTGACATCAGAGATACTGGCTTGCATGGTGCTGAAGAGGGAGAAGGGGAAGAGGAAGTTGCTGCCATCGGAAAGGCCCCAGAGAAGACTTTTTTTGTTGTTGAAAAGGAGAAACTGGGACACTTAACCCTATTGTTTCCTCTGTGAAATGGGAGACATTGGGGGGTTTTGCTGTCCTATTTCGCACCACTAATAAGATTACACTGGCCTGCTTCTGTCGGGCCTGAACGGCCTGTGCAGTCCCTCGCTGTTTACCTGGCATGCTTTTCTGTTGCAGTCTTAATAAAGTGTGGTATTGCGGGCAGAGGAGTGAGTGACACCACTCTACTTTCAGTGGTTTCAGTGGACTTTACAACCGATACACCTCAAAAAACCATGTTCGGTTGTGAGACATTGTGTTTTTTATCCATGACCATTCCACGTGCTTATTATGGTAACCATGACAACCTAACCAAGTTGCTTTTGTGCCAAAAACTAATGAAACAATGATGGTTGAATAATCGTTATTGTTTCCATGACTACTAAAGTGCAGAACACTTACCAGTGGAATGGTCTATGTAGTGTATGATGACTAACATGACGACAAAGGTGTGGGTCATGCTCTAACAGAGGGGGAAGCGATGTATGCTGTCGTTTAGGTTGGTGTACTGGGAACCCTACTGACATCTAGCAGTAGCAAGCTGTTTCTTTTTCTCCAGCAATTAATGAATAAACATCAGTATTTTTAAACATAGACACTATGAATGGGGTCTGTCTACTAACAGTATTATGTATGAGAGAATCTGCACAGACAAGTATTAGGTATGTTCATATACAGTAATACAGAGACGCAAAGCAGTGTCAGTTGGTTGGGCCCCACTTGGTGTGATGTTGACCCAAATAACTATTTATTATTTTGAAGGTCATAATCTTTCAGTGCAAAGCTCAGCAATAGAAAATGGACCAACAAATTACTCACTATTTTATTAAATTCCTCTTTATTCTCCAGAGAGTATGGTAAGCACTTTTGGTCCAAATTGAGTTTTTTACATACTGTACTCTGTTGTTTTTAAAAGAAATCAATATTGCACCCTATCCAGTACATTCTTTCATCCTAATGTTGCTGAATTTGTTTTGATAAAGCTACTGTCAACACTTAGATGAGATAAATCCAACATATTAGAATGAAATGTACACAAGCACATATTTTATCTGTACACTTGTAATGAGGATCGGCAGCTGTGTGAGCACAAAAGCCATCAGTAAACTGACAGCTGAGGTTGAAGTGATTGTAAAATGTGCCTGTTATATGGGTTTACAGGAACCCATATAATATTTTCTGTCTGCACAGAAGCATCAAACCTCATTATGTAACCATTATGATAAAACACCCTGCACTACATCCTTGCCAAAGTCCCAAAAAAAAAAAAGATGTTCTTGACTGTGACAGCTAACTCATGCTCATTCCCCAAACAGGATCTGTGATAACAAGCCATTTCTTTGTTCCATCAGGAAGAAGAGTTACGGCAGAGCGGCGAGGCCAAATATCACCACCTGAATGAAGACCTGCATGTCCTCATAGAGGTGTTTGCTCCACCGGCTGAGGCCTATGCGAGGATGGGTCATGCTCTGGAGGAGATCAAGAAGTTTCTCATACCAGTATGTTCCCTTCATTCTCTCAACACACACACACACACACACACACACTTGCTCCTTCTGGCTTTCCTTTTTTCTCCTCCTGAATCTCTTTGCAGCTGCTCTTTGGCCCCAGCCATCTCATTTTCAGCCTGTCCACTGTGAAGCCAGTCAGTATCAGCAACGACAACCCGCTCACTCGCTCTCACTCTCTGCACTGTAATTCTGTCAGGCCTGTCAGAGTGTGCGATAAATGCGTCTCATTCAGTGTGTGTGTGTGTGTGTGTGTGTGTGTGATCCTGGGCGGGAAGTTGTGGGTAAAACAGGAATAAAAGAGCCAGGAGGGAATCTCTCTCTGCATGGTCCAAACCCTCCTTGGCAGCGGCATGCAGCATGGAGCTTATTTACTCTTCCTCCATTTATTATGGATGATCTCTCCAGTGCTCAGAGCTATGATGATTTACATCTCATCATAAATTATCAACACACCCCTCCTTCATCCCCCTCCATGTTACCTCTTCTCCCAGTCACCATAAAACACATTTATTGATAGAGCAGACACATGACAATCATATCAATCCTTATCTAATTAAAGACCTATTTCCATGTTAATTATGTGTTTTAATTTAGAGGCTGAAAAAAAACCCTGTGTGAGAAGATAAAGGCAAATGGGGTCCAGAGGATTTATCAGTGGGGGATCTGAAATGTTTTGCTGCCTCAGGAACAGTGGTCACAGCAGTACTGTAAAGTACATTAATTAGATATTCCCGGGGCTGTAGCCCTGGAGATAAAGGATGTAATTTAATACAGTGTAATTGAAAGCAAGTCTATTGTCTGTGTCTGTGTGTGTGTGTGTGTGTGTGTGTGTGTGTGTGTGTACATGCTGCCTCTCTGTGTGCAGGATTACAATGATGAGATCAGACAGGCCCAGCTGCAGGAGCTCACGTACCTGAACGGAGGCTCGGAGGATGCCAAGGTGCCATCAGTGAGGGGCAAGTCAACCGCCCGTGGAAGAGGGACACCTGTTCCAGGGCCTCCCAGGTAACCTGCTTCCAAGTGTATAAGTGCAAGTTGCTGTGTATTGATGCACTTTGGCTCAGCTGGGGACTGGGTATTATTTACAGTTAATGAGCTACTGGGAAGGCACTTTTTTATGTAAATGGACGTTAACAGTATCCCGTTGCATTCAGAGCTAATGATGTTTTTTAGAGTTACAGCACATTTATGACTGCCTGTTTATGCTACCATAGTTTAAGTAATGCTTTTAGTGTGTTACAATAACAGTCAGGGATGTTGCTCATAGGTTTGCTATGTTTTTACTGAGAGACTTCCATTTTTTGGATTGCTGCTGTATGTGTCAGCAATACAGTTGTTTGATCTAATGCCTAAACAACTGAGGCTAGATTTACTAAAGTGCTTTTCTTAAATGTGTCAGCACAACTGTTGGCTGTGGTTACAGTGTGACTGTATTAGCTCTTGATTTACTAAGGCTGGATGGTCAGAGCAGCAGGTCTGTCAGCTCAGAGTGCATCAGTTGGTGTTGAATACCAAGGTAAATGCAGATAAATTCCATAAGTAGGTGTATTCCTAAAAGACAGACCAATGCTGCTGCATCCTGTAGTAATTTGGTGATTCACTGTCAAGTTCGCAGTTATATTTAATGAACATGAGCTGCAACTTGAGGAGTGTGCAGTTATTGACAAAACATTTAGATATTTCCTGGGATTTTGTCTAACTAAAAGCAGACAATATTTTGTATCCTTCAAAAATGTGTAGTCTATCATATTTGGCTACATGACACAGGGAATGTGTGGTCTCACAAGACATGTTTTTGTACAGTGGGTGACAAACTATTTAAATAACAATTAAGGCATTACCGAAGATGAAATATACAGTATCACACAACCCTAATGTAGATTTATTTTATTAGTGTGTTTTTAATATATATATATATATATATAGATAATGGGTACAGGCAGGTCTCTAGATATTTTTGTAGTGAGAATACTTTAGGTCTCAGGCCCTTAAGAATTATTAGATTGCTCTGAATTTAATCTGTGATACAGAATGTTTACACCTGCTTTTAAGAGACAAAGAGTTTTCCACAAACAGATGGGCATCACAAATCACATGACCTTACTAAATCCAGCAGAAAACACAACCAGCTTCTGTTAGCATGCCCCTTCCTGTTATCTGCATGATTCTCCCTTAAATATATATGCAATGAAGAGAGAGACATACCTTTCAAAAAGTGCGGCTCCAGCCTGTTTGATAATTATGCCCTGCGTGCTTGGGGCAGAATGTGTCACATCTGTGTCTGAAAAATAGGCACTGAAACGCCATCTTATGTTTTCCTTAGGTGTGACTTGTGAATAATGACTAGGGGTGTAACAGTTCTGAAACCCAAACCACCGGAATCAAACTATGGATTCTGTGAACTGTTATACCCCTAATAATGACCATTCTTTATCGAAATGAAAAGTGAAAATACTGTAGCATGATCTTGTTACTGCATAGCAAGAGCTCTTAGCTGGGAGGTCACATGTCTGGATGTACATAGTGTAGGAGGCTGCGTTATGTGTCCTGTCACCTACCAAGAGTCAACTTTTTTTCTTTTAACCATTTAAACTTACTCTAACTGTAACTAAGTAGTTTTGGTTGCCTCAATGTAAGCAAATCATTGACTGTAGCAGTGACTGATGAGAAAACAGTCCACAGTCAAGTGCACCATTTTGGACAAACTGACACAGAATTATTCCAACAGTGAAATCAAACAGAAATAAAATACCACACAGACAAAGGTTTGGTGTTTAGTATGATAAGTTATCTCTCTGTGGAAGTTGTTTCTCATATTCTACAACAAAGAATGACAGCAAATAGCTTCTTCAAAGAGCTGAAAAATGAGCCCTGATATTTCTAACTGTGCTGACTGTGCGCAAACCTCATCAGGAATTGCAAAGCAGAGGCAAAAACTATAGACTGGCATAAAACGACAAACCAAAGCACTGCTGTTATCATTTAAAGTTGTACTGAGCAACTCTGCACACGGCCGGTCAATTACTGAACTTACAGAGCTGTCTTCTGTATTCCAAAGGAAAGCGACTGGACATGCGAGGCAGGAGTCCGGTTTTGTTTGGAATGAGCCGTCAATAAGGCTTAGTAACTGTTCAGTCAGCAAAACTACAGACTGGGTGGCAAATGAAATGATAAACCTGACATAATGTATGTCATTTATATATTTTACTTGTTCCCTGTTATCCAGTACTATTCTATAGAACATGTAAAAGTTGTTGTTTGATGTTGTACTTGTCAGCTTTCCTTTTAGATAACACCAATAGCACCTAACTCTATAAAGCCATCGACTGTCCAGCTCTCTTGAACCCTCAGACTTGGTCTTAGCCATGGTCAACTCTTCTTTTAGAATTAGACGTGGTCTAAACAGTAAATGTGTAGCTGATCTAAAGTGCAGACACTTTGGAGCAGCTTTTTAAAGATTATTTAACAAAAATCCCAATGTTATTCTCAAATATTTTTCTTCTTTGTTTGAAAATGTAATCTTTCAAGATAAAATTGTAAAAATAAAAATCAAAATGTGAAAATGACATTCACAGGCTGGATTCAATTCTAAACATGTAGGGAACTTATGAATTTGCCTCACAGGCAACATCTGACAAGTGGTTTCAACTGAGGGTACAGACCATTTTTCTCTTCTTTATAGTTACAGTAAAATGTTTATATTTCAGTCCTTTTTGATTGAGTATAACAGGTCCCAGAAATGTGAATGCAGAAACTCTGTTAGTATTACAACAGAAGAGCAAATGGTGTATTCATTTACAGTGCTGGTAGACATGGTGTGTTAATAAAGATACCTGTCAATAACTGGCCTTTCCCATCATACCATGAGCAATAACAGTCTGATTTCAGTTAACACCCCAAGACCAGGGAACAATAGAACAGTTGGTTGTGTTGCTGAGGTGTTAGAGGTCTGCAGCCTGCAGCTCCTTGTCTAACAGCTCACTGTAGCTGCTCCTGTACTTCTTCTATTACACTTTGCAGTCTTTAACATGCCAGATATTGATGTGATAAAATGCTGGATAATATGCTTTATAGTCTCTTGTGAATCCTTTGTGTGCAGATATGCAATTTGAATCCAGCAAACTCCAACAGTAACAATGAAAACACCTGTATAGGGATGTAATTACATACTAACAATAAGAGGTGGAAAGTAACTAAATACATTTACTCAAGCACTGTACTTAAGAAAACTTTTGAGGTATCTATTCTTTACTGGAGCATTTTCATTTTCTGCTACTTCATACTTCAACTCCGCTAGAGTTTACTAAACAAAATTGTACTTTTTGCTCAGAACATTATTTGATAACTAGTTGCTTTTCAGACTGAGATTAATTAAACAAAATATAGTATAATCAACTGTGCCATTCTGCAAAATGAGTACTTTTAGTACTTTAAGAATATTTTATACTAATACCTTTGTACTTTTACTTTACAATTTTAGTATTTTCACACTGTGGTATTGCTGCTTAAATAAACAATCTGAGTACTTCTTTTACCACTGCAAATAATAATAAAAATAATACACATATTAGAATGAATGAAAATCCTAATGACTACAACTTAAATAACTGTATAGATTATTGTCAATGTTGGATTTTTTTGACACCGAACAGATTTGTCCCATGCAACCACAAATCTCATTAGAAACTAGAGAAATGCATTTCCTGTCGTAAATGCGTGTGGATGCTAATAAGCTGAAAGATTGTCCTGAAAATGCCTGAAATCAGTTGCTGAAAGAGGGAGAGGGGGAGGGGGACAGAGAGAGGGAGAGAGAGGAGTTATGTATGGGGCATGTCCTAATTGTGTTGCATTTTATGGACCACCAGATGGAACTCCAAGACTGTGTCATTGACTCAGCACTTTGAACTCCCATTAACTTGTATTGCAAACAATAAATCTGAATCAATTAAAAAGTATAAATGTCATAAAAAAGAAAAATACAAGCACAAATGTCCTTGAAGAGTTGAACATGTCGATACCTCAATGGCTTGTATAGCTGAAAGTATACTGGACTTATAAAGTGCCAAAAAAAGGGTGGAAGATCCCTGAATAATAAAATCTAAAGAACAGGAGAACATAGTGCGGATGCTTTACAGCATCCACACAATGACACCCAAGCATCATCTTCCCCTTCATCAGTAGCATCAAGACTCCACCTAGAATCAGAGTGGTAATATTCAGGTGTTACTGTTGTTGTTCCACTATAATAATCCACAGTGGCTGTCAACAGCTGGAGCTTGTGACATAAACATTCTAATCAACATTGTATTGTCAGTAACCCAGTCTCTTCTGATGGATTTCCTGTGTTTGTTCCATGTTGGTCATGTGTTCTGACGTAAGTCGGGCTGGACACTAAGTGAGTAAGCCCCATAGGAGAACAACACTGATATTGAATACTGTCTAGTACAGAGATTCAGTGTCTGGTGTCTATAAACATTAGCAAAGCAAAGTCAAATTTACATAACAGCCTTTGTAAGCTAATGATCTCCAGTGCTATCCCTGTGAACCCGTGCTAATCCTCTTGAGACCTCATAAGACTACAAATAAAAACATCATCACCATTAGACAGCTGTAACGTCCTCTGCGTCAATGCTGTGCTTTAAAAGAGAAATAAATGCAAAGAGCTATGTTGTTTGCTCTTTGTGTTTATAAAAGAAATCACTTCTTTCACCAGATTTTGAGATAAACAAGGTCAGTGAGATGGGCTGTTAGTGTTGCTCTGAGTAAGAATATAATTGGCTGTGTTTTAAATTACACTGTAATTAGCATTTAGCATGCTTAATTTGATAAGACAGAAGTCCCACAGGCTCCCACACAGAAAGTCTTATGCAGTTTTCTGCATGTGCTTGAGTTTCACTGGTCAGGATGGGCACTTTGCAGTGGTCACATCTTCATCTTTGCTTTGACTTTGACTGGAGCCGATGCTGGAATTTGTGCCCTTAAAGGGGAAGTGACTTGAATGTTTTCCCCTCTCTGCTTGAGCGTGGTCCAGTTTCTATCTGTAAACATTCACTGCTGTCCCTGTCAATCATGAAATTAGAGAGATTTTTTTTGTCTTGACCAAAATCTGTGATGTTTCATCATGTATGTTGTGCTGCTGAAATTGAAGCCATAGAAACGAAATGACCCAGAATGCAGCCTTGGTGGTGTTCTACCACAGCTTCAGATCAGTTAACAGCTTTTTAAAGACAGCTCTGTCAGTATTGAAAGCCCAGACAACATTTTACCAAACCACAAGGTCAGACTGTCTTTGATTTCCAACAGAGCAGCTTGACTTTGCTTTCATCTTGATTACAGTAGAGGTTAGACTCTGGGTTCTGTGTTAATTCATCCAGCTGACTGTACAGATACAAGTACCCCACAGTGGCTATTTCACTGCAGAGACATGCTTGTTTACCTAAATATTAAAGATGAAATCACAGTATTTAAAACAGTAATGGTAAAATTCAGGTTTTTGCGCTGCTTCTTCAGAGTCCAAATGCAATGGTATGTTTCAAAATGGAACCTTATAACAAAAAATCAACAAACACAAGAAAATATCCATCACAAACAGGCTGAAATATCAGGAGTTTTTTCATCTACATTTTCCTTAATAGACAGAAAAGCAATCCAGCCACAAGACATGCTGTGTAGAGAAGTAATGGGCATGACTCACTTTTTCTCGACTGGAGGAACCTGCCCTCCACCCTCGCTGTTCCTCTCTCTCCACCTACACGTATAACCTGCCACTGAATGTATCAATTCATTGTTGTGCCAAGTGATTCTGGCCAGCGTAGGAAATCACAAAATGGAATGAAAGTAGACGAGGCAGCTTGACACCAAATATAATAAATTACAGCTCCTAATCATAAAGGTGTGGAACATCGTGGATAAAATACTATATGTGTGAAAGTATCTTTTAATTCTAATTGTGAACAATTTGTGTGGAAAGAGGATATAATGTGTGTGTTATCTGAATCATTCCACCTGCGCACATATTTCTTACATTCAAAAAAACCTGAAAAGATGTTGAAAACATATCAGGTTTCCTGCTCTGTCCTCATGAACCAGGGATGGATGTTTGTGTCTTGTGTCAGGACTCGAGGAGGAGTTCCTCCCCTGCATGCTGCGGTGCCACGGGGTGCAGCACCCAGAGGAGCACCGCCCAGCCGCGCTCCATCCTCCAGAGGGAGAGGGGTGCAGAGACCCAGAGGCGCCCCTCCAGTAGCTGGGTACCGACCGGCTCCTCCCATAGTCCAGGACACATATGGCGAATATGTGAGTATATGCAAACTCTGTATCTGAATGGGGCAAAAACTAAGCCAGCACTGAGAGCACATCAGTGCCAACTTGGTCTTAACAGCTTACACTGCAAAGAAAGTAGTCACCCAGCAATGACTAACAGCAATCCGAGTGCCTGGGAGTGAGACTTTTCAACACTGTATCAACAAGTATGATGATGATCAATATGGCTACAAATATTATCAAAATATTTTTGATCACACATTTAATTTCATTATTGTGGACAGAAGCACACGCAACATGTTTGTTAGAACTTAAGTGTACGCACAGTGATATGATGTATAATGTTTTCAAGAAAACTCCTTTTAATTTGAAGTTCAAGGGGTATATTCTGTTTATAACTGAATCCTACATAAATCAGAAGTTTTGTTGTGCTTCTGAACAGTCAGTTATTTTGAATTAATAATTTGATTCTCTCTGCACCTAAAATGGTCTAACATTTATCCTTATTAGGTCTGTTGTGCAGCTAGACTACGTGTCAGAAGTGGTGGTGGTGTGTAAAGCTGCTCTTCCACTTTTTCCCTGCATTCCACATAAAGCTGATGCAGCGCTGTTTTTGGAAAATCTATCAATCTTTGATCTTTATACTCACAATCGACCACTTTCGTTAGCTTTTGAAGCCTGTTTTTTCCACAGTTTTAACTGGCATTATGTCTTTCACCATAAAATATGAAGCAGGACTCACTGTGTCCTGCTTCTGTTTGAGCTTTTAGCATATTGCGTAATGACTGAAAAGTCAGCCAGGGGCAACTGCTGCTGGGGTTTGAACTATTGTTACCACAAGAGGCTTGTTTGCGAGTTTGGGATTGCAGACCTTCTGGGATCGTAACATTACCTTCTCAAATAGTGGAAAGGTTTCCTGTTTTTGTCAGCACAGGTGGCCTGCATATTTCACAAGGCATATTGCTTTGCTGTTTATCCGGCTTTAGAAATCAGAACCATGTCCAAATGGCGTGCTGTTCTGTGGCCTGCCTTTGCTGTAAGTTCATCATCCAACTCTCTCTGGTCCCTCATTTTTATGTTTCCAACAACATGTGTATATGTGTGTTTTCTCTCTTTTGGCCTCATACGTGTCAGATACATAACCCAACTGCTGTACCTAACAGGACGATTGTGCAAGAGGGTTGATCCAAATGCAGAACAGATATATTTATCAAAAATTACTCCTCAGTTTATTGTTTTTATTGTGGAAATGTTTTTTGTAATAAACATTGAGATCATTAAATTAAACAGCCCTAGGACAAGAATATCCCACAGAAATGTAACACCAAGGGCTCTATTTCCCTGCAACAGGGCACAGCACTAAACCCGCATTTAAACTCTAGGTGCAAGGTGAATATGGCTGTGTTCAACAATGTTTGGCAATTTTGGTGGACACAGATGCAGCTTTCATGTGCAGCCAGGCAGTAGCGGATGCATTGTGGAGGAGAGGCAGAACACATTATCATAGTGAGGAATAGATGGTGAGCAGGTGGAGTCGGGGCTGGCTTTAGTTCTGTCCAATCAAACCAGCTCCTCTTGTCCCCTTTAAAGAGCAGGATGGAAACCTGACTGACTGATGTCACTGATGTCAGGACATGGAAACATGAGAGGAAAGATTCTTTCCCTGTGTCTTCTTCTCCTGACAGTTATGTTCTTCATTCCTAAATTAAGCGATCAAACTATTTATGTAGAAGTACTGAACATAAATATTCACTCAGCAGTCTGTTAATATCACTGACCAGTGTTTGTGCATGGAGGATAGAAAGTGTCTGGTCCTGTAACCAGCAGCAATTATATAATGCAATTTACTCACAGCTTCATCCAGTGCACAAAATCCACGGGGGTCCTGAATGTGACCTTATAAACATTTCAGTATCTTTAAGATCATACAATATAATCATATTGTAATCACTGTGTTTATGTTGAAACTGATTGTGGTCTACCAGAGGCCACAGTCAGTGGATGTGTCGTCCATGTTATCTACAGCTGCTGCCCAAGCTGATCAAAATGCTAAAACAGACACAACATATATCCTCGCAGTAGTAACAAAGGTTGGTCTGTGTGAAACTGGTTTGTTTGAAGAAACTTTAATTTAGCAGTGACGGCAGCGCACCTTGAGGTCGGACTGACCTGCTGCATAGCAGGTTTAATGGCAGCGTTCGCAGGGGGTTTTTATATATATCTTGGCTCATGAGCTGCTTGCATGTGTTATTTATGTGTCATTTTTAATGTGGATTTGGGATCCCAAACACTGGCTGCAGATTACCTCTGCATCCTGTAAGTAGCCTACAGATGGTGCGTCCTGACGAGTGCCAGCAGTTAGAGCATATTCATATCTATAGCCACATACTGAGGACGACTTTATCTATCTTATCTTAATTAATCTTCAAAAGTTATTCAGGGTGAATTCCAGCCAATCAGTTATGAATGTAAGGTAATTTTAAGCTGGTGTGGCCATTAAAATACATGTGGGTATCTGATCTCGTGCTGCTCAGCCTATGTGCTTGTCGGGAAAATCGCCAATGCACCTGCAAATGCGCTAAGAGGTGTTACTGCTATTGTTATTTTGAGTCAAAACGAACATCAAAATCACATTGTGCTGCCTAATCAACATACGTACATAGCCTCAACTGCTTCTCTCCTCCCACCTCAGCGTAAGAGCATTCATTCATGGCAGGAAAATACCAAACACACGAATTCAGAGCAAAAAGTAGACATGCGGAAAATTGCATCAGGATTGTGAATGAGGTGATGCAGTAGTTGCACTGGTAGGAAAATAGAGCCCTAAATGTATTAGTTGCCTAAATCTAACCTCATCTTAGCCATTAATTAATTTCATAACCATGTTCTGTCAGTGCATATCTGCCATTTGTAGAAAGCAAGAATTTAAAAAATGCTGGCGCTGGGTGTTATCCAGGTTTTACAAAAATGAATCATGCAATACTGTTGTTTGTCGCAGTAGAAACCCGAGTTTCTTCCAGTTGCTCTTCTGTCCATTTTTGAGCTGTCTTGGGCTCTGTCTTCACCCCCAATTCGGTGGAGTTGAACAGAACTTTGTTTAAAAATGACTTTTTCAAAATTCAATAGCAAATTCTTTTCCACTGACAATGTCCCAGTTACTCAGACTCAGAGGTTTTCAGACTGTGGGGCACCTCCTCACAGGGGGATGGGAGAGTTAAAAAGGACAGTGTGGAGGACAGGTGTAAGACAAATGTACTGCATGGGCTGAAAGGGTAAAGATGCATTCTAGTGTTTTGTTCATTTGATTTGGCCTGTTTATCATCACTGTCAGCAGTTGCAGTGGCAGCAGAGACCGCGGCGCACAACTCATGGAGGCAAATACAATATAAATCCTTTAACACCAGATTGCTGTAAGTTGTGCCAAACATCATACTGTACTCCTCAGTATCATAATTGTGCCAGAACACACAAGTCATGTTTTATGATTCTGTGTAACTTCAACTTTCTGAGGACATTGTCTTTCTTGAATGCCAATACAAATAAAGCTCCATTGTTTAGTATAGAAATAAAAGGAAAACAATGCATTTTATGACTCCCGAACCTGATCAGCACATTTTACTTGTAACAGAGTGTTGGAATAAAGACTGTTATTGCTGCTATTATTGTATTTGGTCTTGGGGCTTACCTTCTTATGGGAACCTGGCTGTAATATTAACAGTTGTCTGAGATGAATATATTAGGCTTAGGGTCAGATCCTTTGTTCATTTGTCAAGAGAGTCTCCTGCCACACTGTCAAGGCAAGTTCCCCATGGACTCTGGCATCAGCATCACATATTTAGCAGACAGAAGGATAGAGGAGGTGGCCCAGACTGGAAATTGCCCCAGCAGCCTATACCTAACCATATCTGACAGGTTTATTCAGAGGTTGCAATTCAAATGCATGGAGGTCATAGAGAATGACTCCTGGAACAGCTGTTTGCCATCATTGTCACAGTTGTAAACTGCATCCCCCGACACCTGCACCTGTGTGTTCTGAGTGGGGGAAAAAGACCCCCAACATCTGCCGGATGATAAATCTAACCACATCGCTGCAAATTAGAGGCTGAATGAGTTGCTCTGTATTATTTGAATACATCATCAAAACCCAGGACAAGTGTTCTCCATTGGGGTTTTGACAAATAGGATTTTGTATTCATCAATTAAATGGCAAAGAGATGTTTCCTGTTCACATTTGTTGCCTTCATTTATCACTGCTTAGCACTCACTCATATGCATGTTGCCATTGTCTTTCTGCCGCACAGCATCACCACAGGCCAAAACATTACTTCAACTGGAGGCATTTCTTCTTCTCTCCTGTTTAGACAAAAAGCACCAGACCCAGGTTATTATGTCTTGGTGATGACGCACATGTGTGTAGTATCTTAGTCTGGATCACTTTTGGTTTACATAATTCACCTCAGTTAAAGCATTTGTTTGTACTAGAAATATTAGTATGAAATTACTTTATCAAATAGTTGTGAAACTAAATAACAGAAATGTTATTACCCCATGATCCATTCATGGCAGCCCCATCAGTTTTGAATGGCTAATATGATGGCAGCTAAATCTCATTTCATGTAATTTATTACAGCATTAAGATCTTACCTGCTGCTAATCCCATTGGGGTAAAATTAAACATGATGTAATTTTCATTTCAGAAAAGAGGGTGTGTGTCACTGTCTGCAATTCGAACATTGCTGATATATAACGTGAGGAGGCTAATGAAAGCAGAACTTCACTTTCATGCTACGTTTAGAGCTGCATGTACATGTGTTTGTTTCTGTTCACACAGAAGCTTAATTTCTTTGGGTGTGAAGACCAAGAAGTATGTGGTGCATGTGTGTTGGCATTGTTTATGTTAATTCCTCTCAATACAATAATCCATTGTGAGCGTTTTGGGCTGTTGCAGACTGTTGCAGCAGCATTAAAAAATCTCTGTACCCTCAGGCACCTCTCCACATGTTCAGCCCTGAGTCGAGTGTTGTTAATTGATT